AAAGCCACAAAATCTTAAATCCAACCCTACCTGATAAATGCCACTGATTAACAACCATAGGAATCTGACAAGGGAGAGATTTACTGTCACTTAACTCAGTTCCCAGTCACATCAAAGTCCACAAAAAGTACTTTGAAGATGCTGCTGGGTTCACAAACAAGCAAGCAGAGAGAAAGATGATTAAGGTTTTGGAGGCTTTGTCATATGAGGAGAGGCTGAGGAGAAGCTGAAGCATATATGCTGCTATTTCTAAGCACTCAAAAATAAAATATGCACAATACTAATTTTATAAATATTAAAGGAGAACTAAAAGTGTATTTAACAATGAAAATAATAAATAAGCAAAGGGAAGCAGGTAAGTCTAAAAGCAGATAAAAACTAAATTGCGCCGCCTTCATGTGCTAGAATTCCAGAAGCAGCTGAACGAGAAATTCTTGTGTTTGCTGACAGAGCAGCATTCTTCCCTATGAGTTGCAGCTTCTCAGACTTCTATCCATGGAGTTTTTCTTTCCAAAGATTCTGAAGAAGTTTTTACAAAGCAGAGCAAGTGCATTGTTTGAAAGACACCCTGAAACAAAGGTAAACCTCAGAGCTGCAGCTTCCTTGGCAGAGTGGGGAATCACTGCTCGAACACTGAAGGTACAAACCATCCCAAAGCACCAGAACCACAGGAATGTTCAGGCTGGACAAGACCTCAGTGATGATCAAGTTCAGCCATTAACCCAGCACTGCCAATCCCACCACTGAACCAAGTCCCTCAGTGACACATCTCCAGGAATTCTAAATCTCTTGGAAATGGTGACTGTCACTGCATGGGTGGCCAGTTCCAACAGTACTATCTTCAAGATCAACAAGCACTTAATATTAGGTTCTTTTAGAACATACTCAGCACTACCAGGTTTTAACAATAGAATGCCCAATTTACTGCAAAAAAAAAAAGAGTGTTTCTGCAGAGTTTCAAGAAAACTCAAATTATTTTATTCACAAAAGCAGAAGTCAATAAAAATATAGATATCCTGATCAGTTTTACAGACCATGTTCATTTCTTCTCTCCACTGACAGGCAAAAGCATCATGGAAAGAAAAGGTAACAAGCATTTACATCACAAACCATTATTAACACAGATTCATTTATATGAGCAAATATTACAGGTCCAACAAACACTCCTCTTTTGTTTTTTTCCTTTTTTTTTCTGTGCTGTACTATTTTTCAGTAGTGATAAGAGTATGTGCTGTCTCACTGCTATTTAACTAACAGTTTTTGTTAGAAACTGAACTGTATGAACTCACTTCACTCAAAGTGTTTTCTCTGAATTCCAAACCCCTTTATAGGACTAAATGAGGACATTTGTGCTATATTACTCAAATGATGCAGAAAAAAAGAAATAAAAAAATAAAAAGTCATCATTGCTACTAATAGCATCAGGGAGCTAGTTTTTTATTATTTTTATGGAGCATCTCCCCAAAAAATACCTGAAGATATCCTCCTTATTCAAATCAAACTTCTGTCAGCTCAGTGTTCATTCATGAAACTGCAGGGAAATCTTTCCTCTTTTCAAGGTATAAAAATATTCCCTAGAAATCAGTTTTGTGACATTTATACAAGTCTGGCTTCCAGGAGCATGACGGAAGACAAGAGAGATTAAGGACAAGGGCAATTACTCCTGGTTTGGTTTGCTGTGCTTTATTTTTTTTTTAATCCACCTAATGGGACTGAAACGCCATCTGGAAAAACTCTCATTGAAATAAAGAGACCAAGTCCTAATTTTATTTCTTTTTTCCACTTTTAATGCCTTTGAACTTTGTAGAGATGAAAAATTTGTGAACTCTTCCATCATACAGACCTTGACAAAATGGTTGTAGAACAGGTTACAAAATTACAAACCCAAACTTACTTGAAAACAAAAACCAATCAGAAAATGCTTGCTTTTTCAAAAAGCGAGTACTGAACTAGGAGGAAGAAACACTGTAGTACAGAAACTTACTTTAAAGATAGGTTGTCTTGTACAGAAACCAACCCCAAACTCATAATTATCACTGCTATAACTCTGATGAACAAATCTACAATAATATTTCAGGTTGCTTGCATGCAGATTGCTCCTGCCTCTGCCTACCTAAACTCTGGGAGCATCACCACTGGGGGACAATCCACCCTTCTTTTAAAATCCAGAAAATCCAGTTTCATATAGAAACAATTCTTGCTACGTAAGTGCTACAAGTGATCATTTCGACCCCCCTGCTCCTCAGGACACCTCTCACACCTTTATCTCCTCTTCCTTAAAATATCCAGCAATAGATCATTGAAAAGCAGGAGCTCCTGCTTCATCCTGCCTCTCTGCAAACAGCTGGCAAAGCTGGAAGCACTGGCTGCCAAAGGAAAGCCCCACTCTGCTCTCACTGCAGCCTGGATTCTGAAGGTGGTGAAGCTGCACAGAGCTCCAGCCTGTGCACAGTGAAATCGGGACACCTGCTCTGATGGCCTGCCTGTGCCAGAGTCACACTCCACGTACAGGAGACACAGACAGCACCGAGTGCTGCAGAACAAAGAAATAAAACAGCAGAGTATTGTCAGCTAACTCAAGTATTCTCCTGAAGGTTTCTGCAGCTCTGGGATTCATGCAATTACAGCTCTGTGCAAGTCACACTTCCCCCAGCCTACCCTCCCTGTGGCACCTGCTGCTTTCCTGGCCACAGACAGCAATAGTGGGCACTGGCTCCTTTTCAAAAGCACAAAGTGGACGTCACCAGTCACCTGTACTTGGCATGACTCCAACACAATCTTAAAAATACAAATATTTAATAGAAAAATTTAATTTAATTTTACAAAATACAGATACAACACTACCCAATGTAGCAAAATAATGGAATTGAAAAATAATTTCAAAATATTTAAAGCATTAGGTTCTAAAATAAATAATGCTATCTAAAAGAAGTGTTCAGGTTTTGCAATTAGGAGGCAGTTTCACTATTACTGATCTCTTTTTCAACTTCTTTACAAGTTTCATAATTTATGTAGAAAAATATACAAGAAAAGAATTTGGGATAAAGAATAAGCTGAGTATGTAACATTTAACATAAATAAAAAGCCTAAAGCAAAACCAAAAAGAAAACCAATCATTTTATTTCTGTACATCAAGACTACAAATAGTATTTTAACACTTCATTTATTACCCAAATTAAGAAATTATACATTTTTATATGGTTACTAGTAAACATCTTAAAACCACTCAGTTTCCCCACATTTAAAAGGATATTGCTGGTTACTGCTTATTAAATAGGAAATCCAGCAGAGTTTCCAGTAACAGCAAAATATTTTTTTGCATAAGAGATGAATACAAATTTGATTGTAATTTTTGATGATTTAAAATATAAAAGTAAAGTCCAGAGGGAGGGACTGATGAATCTTACAGTCTGAACTATAATTCCTTTTTTAAACTCACTGCAGTTTGCATATGAAACCCTACGATGTGCCTACTACTAGAGGATCAGCTCCTTCCATACATGAGCAATTTTTTTCCCAGATATCAAATTATATTCAGCAGCATATTCCCACTTACTTTTCTCAGCAGAAATGCTGCAGGGAAATGGATATAAAAGCTGTTTAATCAGAAAAAAAGTTAATTTTATTAGTGTCTACGGCACAGATATGGCATTTAAGATGGAAAGAAATGATAGGGGAAAGGAATGTGAACACCACAGGCTTCAAATATAAAAGATAAAGCCTGATAACTTTGGTTCAAATAACTTTAATAATTATTACATGTATATTTTTCCAAAGTGGTGATTTCTGTATGTACTGTGTATGTAATAGGAGATTGATTAATTTAAAACCGACCAACCAGTCAATAAAACCTGTACAGGCACAAAAGACAGAAACAGAACAGAGAAAACCTGGAAAGTCACATCCATTCAGAACAGTGTCCAAGTGATAATAATGCAGCAAAGGCTGAACTTAAAATAATGCAAATATGTTTTCTTCCAAGTGTTTCAGAAAGCACAAACGGAATATTACACCCATTTTATCTCAGTGCCTACCATCTTAAGGGAAGGTAGTATGAAACAAAATCAGTTCTGCAACAACTATCATAGAACCATGGACTATGCTGAGTCGGAAGGGGCCAATCAGGATCATCCAGTCCAACTCCTGGTTGTGCACAGGACACCCCGAGAGTTAGAACAAGTGTCTGAGAGCATCGTTAAACGCTTCTTGAACTCTGGCAGACTTGGGGCTGTGGCCACTGCCCTGGGAACCTGCTCAGTGCCCAACCACCCTCTGGGTGAGAAACCATTTCATGATATCCAACCTGAATCTTTCCCAATCCAGTCCCATGCTGTTCCCTCAGCCTCTGTCACTGCTCACCAGAGAGCAGAGATCAGTGCCTGCCCCTCCTCTCCCCCTCACAAGAAGTTGTAACTGCAATGAGCTCTCCCCTCAGTCTCCTCCAGGCTGAACAGACCAAGTGACCTCAGCCACTCCTCACACAGCTTCCCCTCCAGGCCCTTCACCCTCATGGCCTCCTTTGGATGCTCTCTAAAGGCTCAATGTCTTCTTTATATTGTGGCACTCAAAACTGCCCCAGCTCAGAGCAGAGCGGGACAATCCCTCCCTTGCCTGGCTGGTGATGCTGGGCCTGATGCCCCCAGGACAGGGTTGGCCCTCCTGGCTGCCAGGGCACTGCTGGCTCATGTTCAACTTGCCATAAATAAATCAGCACCCCCAGGTCCCTTTCTACAGCTGCTCTCCAGCCTCTCATTCTGTCCACACAGCCAGGGCTGCCCTGTCCCAGGTGCAGAATCCAGCATTTGCCCTGGTTGAAGTTATATGACTGGGGATTGCCCATCTCTCTATGGTTTGTATACAACTCTACAATGTAAATTAAGATGTTAGGTTGTCAGTAATGAGCATTTTCATCCTCTCAGTTCTGGGACATTTGCAAACATCTGCCCATCTTGCCTTCTAAAAGATTAATTACAGGATGTTAGCCCTGTCTTATCCCAATGCACCGCAGAGTACTCAACTTTATTGCCAGTTTGCAAAATTATTTATGTTTGAACAGCAAAAAGCCAAAGCTTCATCTTTGGTTAATTTCACTGAGATGTCACTGTTCTTTAAATGTGCTCTTTCTTCACATAAACACAGAAATCAGCCACGCTGCACACAGCATTCATTGTTTTCAGTCATAAAGCAGTGTCAACACAATATTCAGTAATGGAAGCTAACTAAGAAATTGTGTTTAGAAATGAAACCTATTTGAGGGCATTTGGTAAGACACAAGAGCTGCAGAAATGTAGACAGAATTCCCTTAAAACTGCTTGGGTATGGGTGCTGCTTATAGAGTAGGCACTGGTTCTTTCTTCTGCAGATCATCCAAGTAAGCATTGGTTGGACTCAGCTGAGTTCAAATCCAGCAGCACATTCAATGGCATAGAGGAGCTTGCTTCGCATCAGGTTCTCATCATAAAACTCAGGAAGCTTCAGCAAGTTCATGCAGGTACTGGCAGTAGGCAGCCTGTCTAAATCAGATCCTCCATTGTGAATGCAAAATGCAGGATACAACTCCTGGAAGATGCAACCAAAACAAAAAACAAGCACACATCAAAAAAAGTATATAAGCCAAAACCTACCCTGTAGCAGATGGCACGTATTTCTATGAAGTAAATCACTAGATTAAAACCTGTCACAATGACACTCAAATGGCATTTCTTTCATTCCTCATAGCACCAAAACTACTCTTGAATTGTAGTGTTTGCCTTGTTCCAACAAGATCCACTAATTTGGAATACACAAAGCAATTTATATGATTCTAAGGAAAATACAATGACTTGTTATTGTTCACAAATTTACAATGCTACAAAAAACATAGTATCAATGTGCAAAGTGAGTCTGTAATAATATAAACTTGTCAAACCCTGATTATTCTTCTGATGTGTTAACTACTGATGTGAAGAACACACTTTAAAGACATTTTGTATGTAATATTTAATTGTTGTAATAATATCCCATTTATCTTCTTCCAAGAAGTAGTATAGAGAAAAATATATTTATTTGTTATCTCCAAAGCACTGCTTTTGCTGGCAAGACAGTTTTCATTTTATCGACTGCTTGCCTGAGGTAAAAAAGTTCTGATTTTAGAAAAAAAATTCCAGCTCCAATGGCAAAAGGTCAATGAGATTCTAAGCTAAATTATTGTTCAAATGGAGGCCTTAAAAGTATTTCATGGCTAAAATGCTGCATTTTTAGTGTTCCTTTCAAAATGCTAATTGAATTCCCCTGCTCTAGCTTTAAAAATGGGAAAATGGAGTTCTAAATTGAAATGTCATGCCAAGGGCACCATTTGTTGCATAATTAAATACTGTACAGCGGGAAACTGCAATAGTTTGGAAGGGAAAAGTATCATCAATTTATTATGTGACCTGATTGGAACTTAACAATTTTCAACCACACTTTAATGATTTTTTTTTTTGTCCGTAACAATCACATTTATTAAACTTATTAAACTTTAATTAGCTTTAGTAAATGTTATTCTGAACCTGACTCTGGCAATGAAAGTTTAAATTTTTTAAATGATGCAAAGCTGGACTACGTAATCTATAAGCTACGACCATCAAGATATTTCCTAATCTTAAATCAACATGAATTAATTTGAAGAAAGCATGCTGGTCCCACAATATAATGCACATACAAAAAATTTCAGAGCGAGAACCAGAAATTGTGTTTCTCTCAGAAAAATACAGCACACACACTAAAAGTGCAAACAAATTTTGAAGATGGTTTGTGTTCATGTCTCCCATCAACATAAACACGTTCTCATGCTTACTTGGCTGGTAATACTCAGCCCTCCCGTGGCTTCACACTCTGCACCTTCAAAGCTGCAAACAATGCACTGTCACGGGCTACCAAGACATTCCTGCTGATGACAATCCCAGTCACCACTGCCTTTTCTGGCAGCCTCTTCCTGGCAAGGCCCTGGTTTGGAGGGCAATCCCTGCTGACAGGTCCTGCTGCAGCCACCGGGCGGCGCTGCCGAGGCCCCGCTCAGAGCTGCCCAGCAGAGCGGCTCCAATGCCCTTGCAGCCGCTTTCTCTGCCAACACTGCTGCATGTGGCTGAGCAAGCCCCTCGTACCGTGAATTCGTCTTTTAACTTACTGCTTTCATGCTGAAAATTTGGTGACTTAATTTACTTCCATTTTTTCCCAACCATGTATGCTACAGGCAGTTTGTGGCCCATCTCCCAAGTGAACACACAAACTGCAGCTTTCCACATTTAGCTTCTTTTGAGTGTGTCACTGTCAGTCTTAACATTTTTAGACTTTTGATTCACTTCCTCCATCTCTTCAAATGTCACACTGGCTACCTCAAAGCTGGGTACCTACATCTGCATTTCTTCCTCTCCCCTTGCAATTAAAGAGGATGACAACAAATGGGAACTGCTTACTTGGTTTCGCCAGCTGTTCCCCAATTCTCCCTTCCTCATCTGACCGATGTGCACTGTCCTATCTTGGTCTCATCCCAGAGTTTTCCAATTGCTCTTCCTGCTGTCCTGTAAAATCCTATTCATTGCTAGAGTACTGTACAGTGATATTTGCATGGACTTGGGGGGTTTAGGAGATAAGCCTGCAGACTTTTAAATAAGGAATCACATAAATCAATTGACAAATATCTGACACAGGATTCATGTTATTCAACAGCCATGTCCATTGTCTCCACATCATATCCGTACCTAAGGACACTCTTTACTGTTATGTTAAAGGGGATATCTGGTTAGCATGTTCTGGGGAGTCTAAGACATGACTCATTACATCCTGAAGTTGACACACGGGACAGTCAGACCAATTACCAACCAGCCTTAGAAGACGCCAGGCTTAGCTCAACCTGTTGCTTGAAACTGGTAGCAAGTCTGTTTCTGCACAACATGAAATGGCAGCAAGGACCTCCCACCACATGCAGCAAATGCTCTAATCAGTGATTTGCAGGCTTATCAAATTTTGCAGTTAAAATAGAAAGTAACAGAACATTTCATCGCACATTTTGAAACTGTACTTATCATACATGCAAATGCAAACACTGAAGCTGTTTCTGTAGTCATGGACGAGTATTCTCAAATTTTTGATTGCTAGACAAGAAAAACTTGACCAACATGTCCAGCATCTCTAAAAGCTTGCCAGGAAGTCAGAGGACATACCTTAAACCCCAGAAGAGGTGGTCGAGAGCAGCTCGTTACAAATTTGAGTAATTTGCGTTTCTCTTCATCAGTGAAGCCTTCTACAACCCTCCAAAATATTTTAATTACAGGATGGTCTGCTGTGTAGCCACCTACAATGAGATTTAAATTATTTACAGCTAGAATAGTTTTACATGAAAAATAAATTCTTCAGAAAACCTAGCATATATCTTGAAGGTTTGGGGAAAATATTATAACCGTAGGCTTGTATTGCTAACTTCCAGTACCTACAGGTCTGTCATCACTGCAATTTCAGTTTCTTTGCTTACCTATGGCTACTATATCCCTCAGCTTCTTAAATGTAGTTTTCTTCACGGAATCCTATTTTGAATTCATTTTATTTAGTTTAGCATTTAGCTAGTGACTTCAGATTATCGCCTTTCACTCTAAGAGTGTGAAAAATCTGCAAGAACCAGGATGAATGAATCTGCTTACCCTGAGATAAGCCCAGATGTGAACCGATGATTTGGTAGCTACTTTTTGATTACATTCATGATAAATGCAGGGGACAAATGAAGAAAGATACCTTGCATTTCTCACAAGGAACATATATGATCTCTCTCTTCAGACTCTCTGAGAAATGTTAAGTATCTAAATGGGGTAATAGAAATTACTACCACAGAGTTATTTGCAGACTTATTTTCAGATCAATCAGACACAGTTAGTGATAACTTTAATTTAGAAATTAAACACCCTCAAATTATCTGGCTATAAACTTGCATTTAAGCATGCAAATAAAATAAACTGTGTATCTCAATTTCCCACAGTTTATAAAACTGAGCTGTAATTTCAGCCAATTTTCTCAAATTTAGGCACATCCAACAGATTTGGCCAAAGGTATTAAGAATGACCCTGAAACTTTTTCTTAAAAGGTAGGATAGCAAGCAAGTTCAGTTATTCCCAAGTCAGTCATAATAGATTTTTTTCTCCTTAAGCAAAATATGCTTACCTGAATAGTTTGTGAAAGATTTAAGGTCATCCAAACTAATAGGAACTTGCGCACCAGAAGTCAGAACCTAATGGCAAAGGAAATGAGACCTTTACATTACAGGACCAGCAATTATTTGTGTTTAGAGCAATTGTTTTGTGCAGCTTTAAGCAAAGTACCTGTATTTCCTGCTGATCAAACATCCGAAGCCACTCGAGGTTCACCACGTTGGCCAGCCCCTGGCGGAACGCCAGGCAGTGCTGGCGGATCTGTTTGTTCAGCCGGTAGTCTGCCACCAGGTGGATGTACGCGATGCGGTTGGCGCTGGTGACGGGAATGTCCTTTCCACCCGGCTTCAGCTCAACCACCTACAAACACAGCCATTCTCAGCACCTGGTCACCTGCACTTCCGTGCTCTAACCGTGAAACGGCGCTGCAAAACTTTCTAGGAACTGACGTATCCGTTTGAAGCTGACTAGAATACGCTCAGGAATATTCACCTCAAAGGAAGATAGAAGATTATGAGGAGTTACAAAGGGAGGTGTTTTTTTCTGGTTATGTGTAAGAGCACATTCTGTGCACCCAGACCTCCAGCTGCCAATGCAGCTCATCACACAGTCCCATAGTTTATCACCAGACAGCAGATTAAGCACAGTCAGAGCTCTTTCACAGGAGCCGTCCGTAACACCAAATTCACCAATCCAAGTCAGACAAGAACTGAGATGAAAATACTCCTTGGCAAGCTTCCCCCAGCTTCACTGCTGAGTGCCCTGGAAGGGAGAGTGGCCTGTAACAGCACAGAGCTCACACAGAACACTCTCCTCACACCTGGATTAGGGGAGCTGAGTTTGACTGGCTGGGCTCTTCCCTAACTGCTGCTGGTGAATTCTGCAGGGTCACATTATGGTAAAAGCAATGTCTGCTGAGTTAAAATTCAAAGTCTGACACAAGCCAGATTTGCGGAATGCTCAGCATTCACAATTCATCCTACAGAAAATGTACTGTTGTACATACTTAGTACATTCAATGAAAGTAAAAAACCCAACCAAACAAATCAAGACTAAGGGCTGTTTTTGTCCTTCAAGTACACCAAGGTACCTCAGTATGGGAAAAATTTTAAAGAAAAACCCCAAAACTAAAGATACTATAATTGTATTAAGATATAAACCAGGTTCAGATACCTGTTATCAGAACACTATAGGCCTTCACATATTCTACTCTTTACTACATCAGGTTAATTTTATTAAGCAGCAACCCAATGAGAAGGTATTATTAGAGTAATTAAGAGAAGAATTTAAAAAACCTGAAAAGCCGAGATACTATCACTATTCCAAAAACTGTTTCCTTTTTTTTTCCCTACACTCTCTAGTCAGCAATTTCTTCATTTAAACCAATTGTACACTTCAGTATGTGGTAATGATGACATTTTTAGAGCACAGAGAATTAAACACATGAATAGGTCCTTTTCTAACATGCTACCTAATAATGCGAGCTGTTCTTGTACTAAGCTAAATGTGCAAAATGGTATAATTAAAAATTCACAGTGCTTTTGAGCATTCCAATTTTTTTCTTGATTCATAGCTCTTTAAGGCAAAAGAAACCATTAAGATCTGTGACTTCTGACCTCCCAGATAACACAGGCCAGAGGATTCTGTCTAGAGATTCCTGTATTTAACTCCATAAATCCACAGATGAGTTAGAGCACACCTTTAGAGATGTGCAATCCTGTGATGGAGTATCTACCATTTTCTTTGATAAGCTACTACAACCTGAATTACAATAGGTGTTAAAAATATGCCTTACTTCCCACTTTAATCCCTCAGCTGCAAGCTTCTGGCTTTTGTTAGCTACTACGGTAAAAAAACTCATCAATACTCCACCATGTCTGTGTGCAGGTACTGATTATGCTTAAATCCTATTCCTGCAAGAATTAAGCAAAAGATAGGTGTGAGTGTAGGTGACACCATTTCACACCCTGTACACATTATCTTGCTCCCTTGGACAAGAACCAGGGACACGACCCAGGAGGGCTCTCTCTGGGATCCACCATCACAGAGCCTGGCATGGGACACAGCCAGGGATTTTTTCCCAGGGACAGATTCCAGAGGGTACAGGCCAGTGCCTGGGACCACTGGCTGGCCTGAGGGTGAGGGTGTTTTTACTGGTAAAGTCCACGTGGAGTATTAATAGAAGTGTGGGACATGTTCCATACCATAGTGGAAACAGCTGATAAGAAGGGGCCCCTGCACTGCTGAGCTCTCTGTGGTTCATCCCACTGTAGCAATTTTACAACTGGCACAGGAAAGTTAGTCATCAGATTAATCCAATTTTTGACAAGAAACATTCTAATTTTCACTTCAAATCCAACGGATGAAGTTTGTTCATACCCATTGTCCTTATTTCAGTGTTGAAGAGCTCAATCAGCTTTTTCCTTCCTCCTCAAATATATCCATGATGTATTACCTATGGGCAGCAACTTCATTAATCTTCCCAGAGACTTTTACACAGAACTAAAGACGGGTATTTTTCATTTCCTCCTATAAAATACCTTTTACAAAGCCTAACAAGACCAGAAAGCTTTCTCTTATTTCTTAAATTCTTGTCCTCTTCAGCTTTACAAGATCAGATCAGTGGTGTTCCACATGAACAGATTAGTGTTGTGACTTCAATATTAATAATACTTCACTACCTGCCCACTTACAAACTTTCTCTACTTGTTTTGCACAACTGCAGAATCCCTTGCGTTTTTGACACCACTTAATACAATCCCTCTCTCTGAAGTATGGACACACTGAATTAGGCCATATTAAAGTGCATTAAAGCATATTTGTATCACCTAACTCATCAAGCATCTCTTAAGAATATGGACACCAACAATACACCAACAGATATCACTCCATGTGCATACATGTGAGTTCAATATTTACACTAAAAGATTCTTGAACTGACCTCCTTCCTAAAATAGTCAAAGGGAACTACTGGCAGGGTGTTCTAGAAAATTTCTGTATTTTAAGATTCATCCCAGCACTAGGTGAAGTAAAATGTCTGATCTTCCCTGCAGGCCAACAAACAGAAATCAGGACACAGATTAATTTGCATTTGCATTGTAATAGCACTGGCTCCACAGTGCTCTAAGGATGTCAGGAAAATTGTCAGGATGTCAGGAAAACATTCTATAATAAAAAGCTATTCTCTCCCCCTAAGTTCTTCCTGCAAAACAAAGGAAAAAAAGAGGCATTGCACTCTTTCTGACCACTGTTTTTAGAGAACAGGACAAAGCTGTTTGGTTTTTTTAATCAAATTATTCCTTTTATTTTTATATTTTTAAGTAGCAAATCTTGATTTCTGATCCAGCAACATTTCTGTAGCTCCCCTTCCTCCCCAGAGCCCTGCGTTGCCACAAGTACAGGTAAAGCACTCAGCTGAGTGCATTTCCTGGGTTTTTCCTGAGACCAAACTATCCATTTTCAGTTTGTCACTGTGAGGTTAATTTTACCACTGTTGTGTCACAGTACCATCCAAGACCAAAACAAAAGGGATAACAGAAAACAGATAATAAATATATTATGCCAAAAAGCCTAAGAAGGATGTAAAATAGAGAACAGTAACAGTTGGTAAGCATAAAACTAAAGGTAGATGCACTCAGTGTTTTCATGGCATTAAAGGAACTACTGTAGAATTCCCACCTAATTCTAAAAGTCAGGAATGACTGTTGAAGAGTTCCTTTTCAAAAAGGCCATAGCACAACTTAGTAGATCTTAAACGATTTATCAGCTTCATTTTTACTTTTATCCATCCAGTTTTGGCCACTAGATGGGGCAAGACAATAACCCAGGTTACCCGGGACTGGCCACACGAGGAAACTACAGCCCTGCGTCATCCATTTCTATTCTGTAGATCTAAGTTTAAACAAACAAACAAAAAGCATTTTAACTTGGTTTGTAATCAAACTCCAATGTACTAAAGGCAATCAAACCATAGATATAATTTAGGTAAGTATTCAGATCATTCAGATAAATTTGATTCCCTACTCACAAAGTACATCTTCAAAATGAAGGGGAAATACCAAAAAGGGACAGAAAAGTCCAATATGAAGATGTAAGACAGGCATCTCTTCTCAGAACCACAGAAACTCCAGTGCAATTTCATAAAGCTCTTACAGATATTCAAGAACTCTTATGAGAATATTGTATCTTTTCTCTTGGGCTCTGATCACTTTCATTCACATCACCCCTACAGTTCTTCTCCATTTTGAAAACAATAAAGTTTTTGTTTCCTTTCCCTGTTACCTGCCTTCCAGATGTTCATGCAGTAATTCCAGGTAGGAGACTGCATATGAATACCTAAGAATGCATTTTCTATTAAGTGTTAAAAGTTTGCCTGAGAAGGCTCAGCCTCAACGTAATTACTTTGCCGATGAAAACCCTCTAAAATCATCCATCTAAGCCACTATATCCTAGTAAAGAGGTTGTCATGACAGAAACTTACAAAACTCTTTTTAAGGCTTCAAAATCTCCCCCACAAAGAAATTTAAAGGCAAAGAACTCCCCTTTGGTGAGTCAGCATATTTTCAGTGACATTAAAAGGCCATTCACATCTGTTTAAAAAGCCCAAGAAAGGTCCCAAAACCAAGTTCTATATGATATGGATTTCATAGAAACAGCTGCCATATATCATAGTGCTTCTCTGTGGATTCGTGCTTTTACACTTTATTTATGGAATCTTCTGATCACACTCAGCTTGTAATCCATATATTCTTCAGTACCAGTGTTTGAGACTGATACTCTCAAGCAGAGTTTCTGGAGTACAGTACCCAACATTTCTGAAGGAAGAGGAATTGAGTATTTGCATCTCCTTCTTGCCCTGGACAGCCAAAAAATTTGCCTTCCTCACTGGGAGAAGGGGAGGGAGGAAGGTCTGAGAAGAGAAGGTATTTTCTTGAATTTGCTAACCTTATTCTTATAGACCTTTCATAACCATCTCATCTACAAGATAAAGGGAAAAACTAAATCAATATACAGACCTGTGACCACAGGCTGACCTCCTCTGAGACTGTGATACTGGCCACTATTTTCTGCAGGAGACCCAACAGCTGAAATGCAGGCTGCTATCACTGCATTAGATAGATCTTTATCAAAAGCTATTTGGGGTTGGAAGATAAGGTTGATGGCATAGCTCCCCTAATTAGCAGGTCTAATGTGCAAATTATTAAGTACCTTTTTCAACTTCTGCTGAATGCACTTTGACAATAGTTTAATGGGGTCTAAAAGCACATTACAGGATTGGAATCAATACACTGATAATAGAATTTCTACCTTCTACTACTGACACAGGCAATCGAGCCCCTTTTGAATGTGTCTTTCATTGCAGATAATGCTTCTGTGCCACAATTGGTGGATGGACACTGTCATGAGGACAGCTATTTACAACGATAGATTTATGATGCATTTATTGGGCACTAATTTATTAAACACTAAAGTGGTTGTTTAGCTGAAAACTACATATAATGTACATTCAACATAAGGAGTGCAAATTAAGCTTTTTTCCCAAAGTGAATTAGCCTTACCTTGCCACAATCAATTAGTATGCAATGGTTACAAGTCAAATAGCAGATAAAATGTATTTATCCCTATGAGGTTTATTAAGGTAATGAAATGAAGTATAAAAAGGGACTTGGTTGCATTGAAAGGCAGAAGACAGTGACAAGTACCAATGGGTTCTGTTGAACTACACTAACATGCAGTGAGCCTCATAAAAAGATGGCTGATACTTCATGGGTAAAATGTTCTCTCTTCAAGTACAAAAAAAGCAAACCAGCATCAGAATACTTATTTTAACTTACATTTCATCTTGATACTCATTAACTCACTAATATATTAAATCTTCCTTTTAAAGTTATGCAAACAACTACAAATGAGAAGTCTTGAAAACTGCGGCCATAGCCCTCATTTTAGCTAGATTCTAAACTGGATTTGTGTTAGTTGTGACCAACAAAGCTATTACTTTAAGCAGAGTTAAATAAATAGTTTTAGAACTCAGATTTTCCACCCATTGTAAAAAAGTCCCAGGTAATACTGGAAGCTGCCATTTGGTGTGCTTTCCTCCCCAGAACCTCATTTCTGGGTGCTACAGACCTCAGTTTAGCACCAGCCATGCCGAGCACACGGTACCACCGAGTAGGCACTCTAAGAATGTGCTTTTGGGTATATCTGTATCACATCTTTAGCTCAAGTTTTTGAGTGCTTTTTTAAAGACAGTGCATGTCAGATGTTTCCATATAGGGAGTGTAATCCAGGGAGGAAAATGACATATGGCACATGTTAAATATTAAACCTTACTTGTATCAGGCAACTGTTGCCTTCTCCCCTTTAGTATGCTTTAGGAACCCCAAATCTATGGGTATTATTTTAAAGTTTAATGCAATCCAGATTTTAGGATCTTCCAAAAGAGCAGCAAATGGATGACAGAAGAGAAAGATAAAATCCAAGCCTGACAATGTTCAAGCAGAAGTCTTGGCCAGCAAACTTGCTATGACTTAAGCAGCAGCAGAGAATTCAAGGTACCAATTTCCAGGACAGGTTACTGCATCTCAGTGGTGCTGCTGCACTGGAGATGTGCACAGTCCTGGCTTCCCTGAGCAGCAAACCCCAGAGCACTGCTCAGCCCCTTCTGGACTCTCTGTTTCTTCCTCATAATTCAGATGCTGCTGCTAGTCACAATGTGGTGAGGTCTCCTTTTTTCATCCAACTATATGCCATAATCAAGTGTAAGTTTGAAATCCTCCATTTTAAATTCTCAAAAATGAAAGAGGAAGCATGACAAAAGACTTTACCTAGGAGGCTACCCTCATTAGCACACTAAGGCAGGCTTTTAGATCTCTAGTGACATTTATTTTCTACTAGGAGTGATCTTCAGTACACACAACAGAGCAAATAAAAGCTGTAATCAAATTATATGGTGCGACTGCTTTTAAAAACTCAGACTTAAGGAGCTAAGTAACTGCTTTTCAGAAGCACTGAACACCTTTTATCCCCTTTGACTAATGTGGTATCTCAACCCTTTAAAAAAAAGAGCAGGGGATAAAAAAAAAATAAGGTTCATCAAACTTCAGGCTCTGTTACTTTGAAAATTACAGATAAAGGAGACAACACTTACCTCCCAATAAAGGGTGTTTACTATAATTATTATTTAAAACCTCTCAGACTGTGAACTGCAGTTCTAAAACCAGGCAGTACTGCAGTTTACACATCATCTAAATTTTGCTATTACTACAAGTGCAACTGAAGAAACAACACATTTTTGTTCAAGAAACATTCTCAGGCAATAGAACTTTATATGTATGACTGTTAGAAAATCATCACTGCAGTTTACTCCTTAAAGGACCAGACCTTTAAGTAATCACTACAAGTTATTTTTAAGTACACAGTTAGTGTACTCTCTACTCCAAATATTGAGTCAGAATCCCAACTCATGCCTCACAGCACCTTTACTAGTTGTTTCCTACCACATTTAAATTTAAAAATTAGTTAGCAGAGATAGTAAAGATTCGTCAGTCATAGATAAAAGAAAAAAAAATTTCAAAGCATTTCTTACCTGTGCTTCCCCAAGGTCATTATTTACCACAGTGAAGTTTAGTCCAAGTTCTTCCACGTCCCCTTCATAGCTCTTGAGAAAAAGCAAATTTTTGTACATTTCTGGGTCTAGTGAAGCTAAATGATGAATGTCAACATCAGCACTTGTCCCTAATAATTTTGAGAGGAAAAAACTAGCAAATGGCAGCTCCACCAGCATATTTTCATAAAGAGCCTGAAAAATAAAGCAATTAAAAGCACATTAGATTTTATTGTTATACATGCAGCAATTCAGAAGGTTATTGTCTATTTCTAACTTTTGAGTAATTCTGTCTTAATTTAGTGCCTGAGTAGGTTCTTCTGGAATGGAAACAGCTCAGATATTGCATGAATTTAAGAATATTCATCCAAAATTTGAAATGTGAATATTCTTGTGAAATACCAAGTTCCCAAATCTCACAAATTAATTATGTTGTGATTTAAAATGCAAGGTCATTGCTTATCTGTCATAACTCTTCTTATCCAAATTGCACTTATTTTCAGGAAAAGCAAGGTTTGCTAAAGGACAATACAACTGCATCAAGAATTACAAAATAAGTTTACATCTCTACTTCCATTAGCACCATCACAAGCCTCATTATTCCATTCATATCAATCACTACATGTAAAACTGTCATCCCCCTTATCCCCTTAAAATACCTCTGTAAACCCAGTACATTTTAAACTACTAAAAACTAACTCGTGCATGTTACACAGATTCATTACTGCACTTTTGGTGAATTCCACTGCTCTAATGCACAGTCAAAACATCCTCATTTCCAAGCCAAGAGTTTAGTTCTGACTGTATCACTGGTCCAGTTCTTTCTATGCCAGACACTGCTACAAGTGTCAAAAAATTACTAAACCAAACATGTACCAACAAATACAAACATGTACCTGACCCAAATTGGCAGCTCTCACAAAAGATGTATTTTGACTGCAACCAAATTATCCTCAAGAATTTTCAAACTCCAGCAACACCATTCTAGGTTCATCTACTGCATGAGCACATTTCCATGTAATGCAAAGTAACAACTGCTTGATTGGAAGAAGAAAGTGCTTATGGTAGCTCTCAGAAGAATGAGAGGTGTACCCTTCAGAGCAATTCTGATAAAGGACCACTGGTTTAAATGACCCATTCCTGGCACATGCTGCCTTTCATTGTCCAGTCCGTTTGCCATATCAGCATCTCTATCAATGACAACCAAATCTTCACAGAACATTAATATCACTGCCAGGCTGATCAGAAAAGGCATCACCAACATAATATCATTGTAACATCATTGTTTGTTCCCTTTTAACTCTCCAAAAGCAGCGTTTTGGTGTTCCTCCATAATCTGCTGCAGACTTAGAAAAGGAATCCCACCAAGGGAAAAAAAAACAAAACTGAAGAAAGACAAATAGATGCAGCTCTAATCACTCAATGATATTCCAACAAAGACTTTAAGAAAAATATACACAATTCCTTAAACTTTTGAAAGAACATTCTTCTATGAGGTGAGTTAGACCTTGCAAAAAAACCTGAGAATAACGAGTTCAAAGCCAAAGGGTGCATTATATTTAGAGCTATATGATTTATTCAAGGTGTAGAAGTCAAAATCCTCATTTGTATAGTTGACTTTAAAAGCAAACTAGAGGGATAAATCATTAATTTGCAATGTGTAAGGTCAGTGTTTGCTGTTCCTGCATTAGTAACAATAAAGCTATTGTAATTCCTTAAATATATCAAAGCTACCCGAATTTAAAATGGAATTCCATCTGTGACTCATAAAATGTAAATGCAGAGGTGTAATTTTTTACACAAGGCAGGTTTAAGCCTTTAGAGCATTTAATATACAAGGACTAATAAATGATAGCACTAAAAACTATGATCACATCAGCTAAATGGATTATAAATTAAATTTCCATAATGTATGCAACTGAAATACAAATGTAGACATAAATCAAGGTATTTTCTAAACACAGGTTAATTACACAAATTCAGAACCTGTCTATTTTTTATGCAAAATAATCCACTTAGCATTTTTCAAACTGGTCTTAAGTCTTTACCACTTGCAACACTTGATCCTAGAAGCCTATCAATAATTCCTTGTCAGGAAAAAAACAGCAATAGGTATATTGAAGAAACTTGTATGTTATTTTTCAAGTGTCTGTCTTTTATGAGTGTTTATTGCTAGAAATTGTGCCAAAATGATTTGAAATAAAAAGGATTAATTATGGTAGAAGCTTTTTAATATAAGTGAGTGCAGCTGCAATGCAATTAATGCAAATTGTGATGCTATCAGGAAAATAAATGTGAACAACATCACTGGCTATTTCTGTTTGCTGCCAAATAACTTCAGTAATTTACTACATTAAGAATCAATAAAAAAATAATGCATTTCAAATGCATCACTATTAATCTTCAGGTAGTTCCAAAGTGAACATTTATAACTTCATCTAAAAACTATATAAAGCATTTTTAAATAAACTAAATTGTGCAACTCAAGAATAACTTTAATTAGTCCCTCTTTTAGCTAAGTGATTGCAATATTCAAAGTATTTTTGGAAAGAAGACAAACAGTAGTGTTTTAATTAGTTTGAAAGTCAAGCTATCCTAATAAAGTTGAATAAAAAATGCACTAAAACTCTGGTGAATAAAGTAATAATGAACTTTGGGTTTGTTTCAAAGAGGTGAATGCTGCCATTGCAGTCCCAGCACTGTGCACAGATGCTGAGAAATGCTGTGTACAGTATGAGTAAATAAACTGAAACTTTATTTTCTGCATTCCATCTAACTTTTCTGTTTCTCAGTCAGCACAAACTGATCAAACTACCTGTTGTTGCTAAAAAATGTGATTCCACACATTCCTGCCAGGCAATGAAACCCATCAGCTGCTAATTCCCCCAGGTTTGATGCAAGCAGAGCAGTTGTACAGTAGAAGCTACAGGGTCATTACAAACTGAGTAAGGTTTAAAACTTGGAGAATATTTGTGCTGTGCTTTGTTTCGGCTGTTGGGGTTTGCAGGGTGGGTGTATGTTGGTGGCCACTTCAGCATGGACACTGAAGTTTCTTTTAAATTAGAGCAAGACCCAGCTCCCAGCCATGGCTGAAACACAGTGGGAATTGCAGGACCATTTGTTTCACCAGGAGCAAAACCTTAGAGCTGCCAACTGCCCATGGAAGCCCACCCTGATGGGGATTTTTCTTACTGAAGCTAATCTAATGGCCAAGAGGGAGACTTCCCTCCTTCCTTGTTTTTCCATACTGAACTGCTTTGGGGAGCTCTAAGTTACCCTATTTTAAGCTTAGTTCTATGCCTGTCTAAACTGGCTTTCTGCAACATCATCCTCAAGGATGCAGGAGCCCAGCAACAGGCAAGGGAATGGTGACCACCTGTACCAGAGGAAAGCAGCTGCCAGATTCATCAGCTGCTGTGTGAAGCTGCATCATTAAGAGTATACTTATATAGTCCTTTAATACAATATATGGCCATGCTCTCCACACAGAACCTTCCTTTCTCTTTCCCTCACAGCCAATGAGCAACAACACTGATAGGAGAAAATGGCTTGCTCTTGGACAGAGATAGCTACTGCTGTTTGGGTAAACCAGAGCTTCCTGTTCAGACACTGCCTCAGGAGATCAAAGCCAGCAAGCTTAACCAATTTTAAAACTAATCTCTTCTCAGACTTCAAGTACTCTCACCCTTTCACAAGCTTCCTATCACTCTGCAGTAGTCACCAATGAGATTGATGCCTTTCTATGATGAATTCTCACAGTTCCCATTCCTCACTGTCTCTACCCTGCAGCCCATAACCTGCAGCACGCCTACATAAGGCAAAAAGTTCAGATGGGAAGTCATGAAAGGAGTGACTGGTGGTCATGTATGGCATCAGACTTCCAGTTTCTAACACTCAAATGTGGGGGTCAACACAAAAACCTCACCTGATCCTAGACAGCTTTGCCTCCTCGAAAGGCTGGGATATTAACACTCCAGCTGGTACAAGCTTGGGGTAAGCAGCTGGTCTGCAGCAGAGCCAGTGATGCTCACATCAAGGGCAATCCCACAAGCACTGTATTGCTCACAGGGTGACACATTCCCAAGTACCTAAAAGGTAATGTCTGCTGAAAAGGCCAACCTGAATTTCCCAGCACTCTTTCAAACTCACATAGATTAGGGATGCTCTTTAGTCGAAGTTGACATCTCTAGATATCAAAAAAAGTAGAGCAGTTTTTTCACTATGGAAAAAGTAGTATCCAGTAAAAGGAACTTCACCCACCTGTTTCCCCCTTTGTGTTAATGTCTGCAGAATGTACCAGAATATTAAAAACCACCAAAGTAACAGAAAGCCTACTCTGTGGTTAAGTTCTCACTTCACATGCAGTCTGAAGCCTGTTGTTCCTCTCTTAAATAATTTCAGCTACCTGTGATTACAGAATAGCTCCACAATAATTGATTGCTACAGGGACTGGCCTTTACTCTGTTCAGTGACACAGATCACAATGTGGGCATTTGAAGTGATGATAAATATGATGCTCAGACACAAATTTACTGAATGCACTCACTACACATCTGGGATGTGGAGGAACAAGAAGCAGTTCTTTAAGGCAGGCACCCTTCAGAATACAGGCATGCAATTAGTATTTGTAATATATTATGGAAGAGCAATCTGGGCTGAAGGATAGCTGTACACAGTGGCAAAAAGAGAAGGATGACAGTTCTCTGGACAAGGAGGACTTTTCTTCTTTCAAAAAACCAAGAATAATGCCTGACAGACACTATAGATGGTAACTATCACGATACCATTTAAGTACTACGTAGTCACACAAGGTATTGCTCAGGTATGACCCCAAGATTTAGGAAACTCTTCAGAAAGAAAATATCTCACACCATGTTTGAAATTCGGACAAAATGTAAGCTATTAAGAGTCATTTCAGCCAGCTTAGCTATACACAGTAGATGTTACACAAGCACTACAACGTGCTGAATAAAGTTCAAACTCTGTAAACAAATTCACAGATGAACTAATTAAACCTCCTTCCCTGTAAGCTTTAGTGCCTTTACTTACACTTTCAGGTCTACAGCTAATTCTCTCATTTATTATTTCAACTAAAATCTCTCTTAAGAAAAATAATCAGTCACTGCTTCTACTTTCCATTAATCCTTCACAACCCAGAACTGTATTTTAAAGCATAAACAATGCTAAAGTCATAT